TTTATTATGTGAATGCTTCTGTTTCTCCTCACGAATTATTTTACTGCTGCATTTTTTGTTCGTTTTTAAAATTAAACTGCGGTGTTTTCTGGAATGTAAATTCAGCTTTGCTTAACAGTAAAATAAGTGAGCCATCTTGAACACTCTAAGTTCATGCTATATAATCTATATAACTCTTTATTGAACATTGGCAAATAGAATAGCTAAGAAGTTGATAAGCACATTGTGTTCGGGGAAGCATGTGATGCTGAAGTTGATTCAAGCAAGTGAACACCTGACATGTGGGGATCTCAGTTTAGATACCAGTGAATTAAAGCATCCAAAATTATTTCTTTTTACCTTATTTCATACGTATGTACTGCATATCATTGGATATTTGTATACTAATACACTTACCTATTTTAAACAAAACCATGCAAGTCCAGTCAAACATGAGAGGTCATGTTTTTGTGTTTTTTAAATACAATTCTTGTGTTATAAAGGATGCTATATCATTGAGGAATGGTTTATTCTTTGGGGGGCTGTCTGTATGTGTGTGTCTTAACATTCACTTGGAATCAGCTGAAAGCTGTAATATGTCTTTGAAATGAGCCATGATAAATGCAAATGAGAGCAGTGAAACTTAGAGGGTGATTTTAAGCATTGTAGTTACTATCTGTTTATCAGATATAAATATTACGGTTTTAATTATGCATCTCTTTGAACATCACAAACACACCTGAGTGTTGGTAACAGTGTTCTAAGCATTTGTGTTAACTTTTAAGGACTATTTGTTTAGTGCATCTTACAAACTACAAATCTTAATTGGTATATTTTGAGATGGTCATGTAAATTTTTGGCTTATATGTCATGAAAATAGTCATAACTTAATTTTTCTCCTGACATTCACTGTAAAACATTCAGGGGTCCTACCATTTCTGTTCAGGAAATCTTGTAGTTTATTGTTATTTAACAGTATTAAGTGAATTTTTGTATATTTCATTTTAACTTTATTTGTGAATAGTGATTGTGGCATGTTTAGGGTGTTATTTTAATATTTTATGATACTGAAATTTTAATTTTTTAAAAAAAATTTCTGGAAGAAACAGATTTATGTATGTAATGGTGAATATTGGACCACTACTGCTTTTCACGTTTGTAAATTAGTTTTATGTTTAAACCCTGTAGCCTAACAAACTGCTGTTATTTCTAACTGACAGACATGTATTACTTTGAGGGTTATAAATATTATGTGGAAATTCTTCCATTTTGTTTTGAAATTTATAATAACAAAATCTTCATGTTGTTAAAATGTGGTTTTGTTGTCACAGTTCTTTATGGGGGAAGAAGGCTGTGCAGAATGGGATCATTTTCTTTTATGGGACTCATTCACAAGGTAATCAAGTCTCACTGCCAGTAATATTTAACTTACAGTATATTTGTGCTGGCCAAACTATAGTAGTCTCTACTGTAGTCTTATGGGATAGCATTCAATTGTAATATGTCATTTTATTATTTGATTTGTTAAAATTTGACATAGTTATTTATACATTTGATTCTTGCATATAAAAGGTAAAGAAATACAATCCAGTAGTTATATAAAATTCTTCTTCCTACGAAGTTCTAGGAATGTTTATTTTATTGAGAAATTTGGTATTTTTTAAATTTGAGTACCACTCAGATCCTGCAAACTTTTTAATGAAGAAAATTGAAACTCAGAAATTTTTAAAATTTTTACTGACTTCACTGGGGTGACATTGGCTAATAAAAATTTGTTTCAAGTGTACAATTCTCTAACACATCGTCTGTGTATTGTATTTGTGTGTCCCCACCCAAAGTCAAGTCTCCTTCCATCACCATTTATCGCCCCTCGACCCTCTTCTACTTCCCCCACCCCCATTTCCCTCTGGCTGTCGCCATACTGTTGTCTGTGTCTTGTGAGGGTTTTCTTTGTTGTTGTTTAATCCCTCCACCTTTTCACCCAGTCCCCCAACTCCCCTCCCCTCTGACAGTTGACAGGCTGTTCTCTGTATTTGTAAGTCTAATTTGTTTGTTATTTTGTTCATGGGAGTCCACATGTAAGTGAAATCATATGGTATTCGTCTTTGTCCGACTGCCTTATTTCACTTAGCATAATGTTCTACAGGCCCATCCGTGCTGTCGCAGAAGGTAAGATTTCCTTCTTTTTTTTGGCTGAGTAATACTCTGTTGTGTAAATGTACCACAGTTTTTTTATCCACTCTACTGATAGGCACTGGGGCTGCTTCCAAATCTTGGGTATTGTAAGTAACACTTCAGGGAACATAGGGGTACATATATTCTTATGAATTGGTGTTTGACTTTTCTTTAGGTGTGGTCCCAGAAGTGGAAATCGCTGAGTCATAAGGCAGTTCCATTTTTAATTTTTTGGAAACTCGGCAATTTTGAACCTTTGGATGTTTATGATTTGTCCTAAACTCGTAAGGTTCCTAAAGGTGAGACAGGATGACTTTTTGTCTTCCTTCCAAGTGATCTGAACACACGTCAAATGTGTCACTTCAGATAAAAAGAAAGTGGCTATATTCTTTTTGGTGCTTTGCCAGCCTATGTTTGAAAGTCTGTTAGCATGTTATAACAACTTATCTTTTGGACTGAAGGACAGTTCATGAGGGTTTTTGTATACTATTTTTTAAATTGTGGTAAAATATATATATATATATATATATATATAAAATTTACCATAAATACATAATTGTGGCATTAATTAGATTCACAGTGTTGTATAGCAGTTATCACTATCTACAAATTTTTTCATCATTCCAAGCAGAAACTCTGTACCCTTTAAGAAATAATCCCCCATTTTCCCTACACCCCAAGTCCCTGGTAACCTCAAATATACGTTTTGTCTGAATTTTGTACACGTGGAATCACACTGTATTTGTCCTTTTGTGTTTGGCCTGTTTCACTTAGCACAATGTTTCAAGGTTTATTGGTGTAACGTGTTAGAAGTTCCCTTTTTCATGTCTGAATACTATTCTGTGATGCAAATACGCATTTTGTTAATCCATTCATCTGTTACTGGGCCTTGGGTTGTTCCCATCTACTGCGCGCAGTGCTGCTGTGAACACTGGTGTACAAGCCTCTGTTTGTGACCTTGTTTTCCTCATTCTTTGGGCTTATATACTTAGGAGTGGAGTTGTTGGGCTATTTGGTAATTCAATTTTTAAGGTTTTGAGGAACTGCTAACCTATTTTCCAGAGCAGTTGCACTATTTTACATTTCCACTGGTAATACATGAGGGTTCCAGTTTCTTCTCATCATTGCCAACACTTCCTCTTTTAAAAAATTATTATTATATTCATTCTAACAGGTGTGTTAGCAGAATGAATATAGTATTATTCCATTTATTGTAAAGTGGAACTTTGATTCTGTTTTTCATTTTTCTAATAACTGTGTTGAGCATCATTTCATGTGCTTACTGGCCATATGTCTATCTGCTTTGGAGAAATGTTTATTCAGATCCTTTGCCTGTTTGTAAACTGTATTGTATGTGTATGTTGTTGAGTTCCTTGTATATTCTAGGTATTAGACATTTATGAGGTGTGTGATTTGCAGTTTTTTCCAGTCTGTGGATTGTCTTTTGCTTTCTTGTTGGTGCCATTTTTATAGACAAAATTTTAATTGTAATGAAGTCCAGTGTATCTGTTTTTCTCCTGTTGCCTCTGCTCTTAGTGGCATATTTGAGAAACTATTGCCAAATCCAAGGGCATGAATACTTTCCTGTTTTAAGCGTGAGTTAATTTTTGTGTATTGTGTTAAGTGAAGGTCCAGCTTCATTCTTCTGCATGTGAATATGTAGTTTCCCAGCACTATTTGTTGAAAGGCCTGTCCTTTTCCCACTGGTCTTGGCTCTCTTGTTGATTGGCCAATGTGGCTCTGTTGCTTGGAGCGTTGTCCATAAATTAAAAGATCATGGGTTTGATTCCCAGTCAGGGCACATGCCTAGTTTGCAGGTTCAGTCCCTGGTCAGGGCACATACAGGCGGCAACCATTTGATGCTTCTCTCCCTTTTTCCCTTCCCTTCTCTAAAATTAATAAGCATGTCCTTGGGTGAAAGTTAATTAAAAAAAGAAATATGAGTCATTTTTGTTCTTTTAAAAGATTGCTTTGGTTATTGAGATCACTTGAAATTTCATAAATTTTAGGTTACAATTTTTCTAATTTCTGGAAAAAGAAAATGCCATTGGGATTGTAATAGAAACTGCATTGAATCTGTTAGGTCACTTTGGGTAGTGTTGTGTCTGATCTTAACAATATTGTCTTCAGTTCTGTAGCAGTGGTTTGTCGTTCTCAGTGTACAAGTCTTGTGCCACCTTAACGAAGGTTATTCCTTAGGTATTTTATTTTTTGCAAGTTTTTTGTTGCTAATGTGTAGAAATACACATGATTTTTACATGCTGATTTTTTATCCTATAATTTTTCTCAGTTTATTAGCTCTAGTAGTTTTTTTTTTGTTTTTTTTTGGTAGATTCTTTAGGGTTTTCTACATATAAGGTATCATCTGTAAAGACAGTTTTATTTCTTTCTTTCTGAATCCCCCCCCCCCCCCCCAGCCTGTGCTAGGACTTTCAGTGCTATGGTGACTAGAAATGGCAACAGGGCATCCTTGTCTTGTTCCTAACGTTAGGGAGGAAGCTTTCAGTCCTTCACCGCTGAGGAGGATACTGGCTGTGGCTAAAAGTTAATAAACGGTAAATTTTCTCCCTCTTCCAATTTCAATACAGAACAATTGATAGAATTCAAGATTTAAAAGGTCAAGGGACACTTATTAAACCCATTCCCTTCTCTCTAATTCAATTTCAATAATTAAATTTGTTTCCTTAAATATCTGTTTAAAGCAGATTATATATACAGAGCATGTTTCGATAGACCATATTTAAGGCTAGATAATAAGACTCATTTGCTAACCTGTACCCATATGGAAAAGCGAAATTTGGATCACCCCAAGTAAATAGAAGTAAACCGAACCACTTGCCTCCTCACACCTTTTATCACAAAGTATTTATTGAACAAAAATAACAGTAAAAATGATACATATATGAAAGTGAATGAAGAGTTGCAGTCATACAAAAGAGGTGTACAAAGGGACCAATGTTTAGATTATAGGTCTATAAAACTTCAGCCTTAACAGTTTAACACTGATCAAGCAGACATAAAAAGAAGAAATTTAATATGTTGCGTGAAAACTATTTTCTGACTAAAATAGTTGTTTAAAAAACAATAAACACCACACGCGCACACACACAGAATGAGGCAGGGCTCTAAGGGTTATACTTCAGTCCTTGTTCTCTGTTTGTGTTATAGTAACAGTTTTGATCCATCAGCAACTATGGTATTTTTTCCATTTCCAGTAGATGGGGCCAGATTATATGTTAATCATAGTCTTTGGAGGAAAGGAATACAAGAATCTGATATATAGTCATTTGAATATTTCCAGTCAGCATTTACATTTGAAGATATTTTTGGTTGTGATATCTGCACATTAACTTCCTTTTTAGTTTCGGTGTAAGAATCTTGCCTTCTTACCTGTGTTTTACCTAGCATAGTTTTGGACTAGTAGGTATGGATAGCTAAGCATGGGGAAGCAGAACTGACTGAGCACTGATCATTATCCTGTCACTGAGCTGGGTGGCCTTAGGCGACTTCCAGCTTCTCCTGTGCAGTGTCCTTATCTGGAAACTCGGGGGGTGGGGGGGTAGGATGCATTCTCAAAGGCCCTTTTTAGCTCTAACATTTTATGTTTGTAAAACATCAGCTGGACCAACTGTTTTTGTACAGAATTATCCTTAGCCCATGACAGTAGTGTCTGGATTTTGGAATCAGCTCCATTATTTTATATTCAAAGATGCATGTTGGAATGTTTGCATTTTTCCCGTAGATAAGGGCATTCATCCCCTCATGTAGAGATTCTCAATTCCAATTGAAAATCTCCATTTGTATCCTAACAAAATTTTAGATATTTTTGAGAATTTAAGAAACGTTTTTGTTTTTGCAAGCTTGGTTTTTTTATCCCTGCTATTTAATGCCTGGTTTAGATCAATTAATTATTTAGTCACATTTCAAATTGGTGTCTGTTACTCCAACTTAAGGATGGGAGTTAACTGATCTTGAGTTGAAAGCACTGGACACTTTCCAGTTCTCTTACTTCTAGAACTTTTGTATTGTACAGAATGGTGCCCTAGAGTGGTGCCTGCTGTGTTTTGAAGGAATAGAAGTTATGTTCCCGTTAGCACTGCTCTAAACTACACAAAATAATTTAGTGTTCGAAATTGTCAACATAATCAGTTCAGTTCAACAACGATGAGGTTTCTGAAGAATCTTCTATTCATTGTATCAGATTTCTTTCATTTCTTCCCCCAGTTTAGTAATAACTTCTCCATCTCCACAAGCCAGGCTATACCTATACACATGAAGACACCTCGTGTTACAGAACTGTTTCTGCATTGTTCGTATGCATCACCAGTCTGTGAGCCCCTTCCAAAGCATAGGATTTTTAAATGTTAATTATAGTTCCAGGGGTTTAGAGAAACCTTAACTCAGTGATACAGGAAATGTATCAGAGGGGCTCTGATTCATTTGTTTGTGATTCTCTATGGAAAACGGAGAACCAAGGTTAATTGTTTGAAAATAGAATATGCTAACCTAGAAAAATATTCCAGGGGTAGGACAGAATAAACTGGATATAGCTTTTCCATCTCAGGTTTTTTGTTTGGGGGGAGTCTAAAAGATTGTAAACAGTTGGGAGGCTAGCCTTTCAAATTCCTTATAAAAAATGCACTTTCGAACATTTTTAATGAATTTTTATTGTCTAAATATGGCTTAGTTTCTTATAAAAACATTACTTGGACATTACATTTATTGAATTTCAGTTCAAAAGAGATTCTAAGGCAATTCTTATAATCGAAAGCAAAAAAAATAATATGAATATGCTTTCATATTGCCTACTTGTGAAAAATAACAAAATTCTACTAGAGCTGTCTGATACTAATTTTTGTCTTTCAAACATTTTCTCTTAATACTAAAAAATATAAATCATTTACATAAAACTAAATGCAAAGGAAGGCACAGCTGGTTAATGGTGTATATAAGCATAGTTCAGCATATGCAGAATTAAAGAGAAAAAAGCTTCACATCCTTAATTAGTTACACTGAAAACCATTAAGAAAAGTTCTTCACTGTCAACAGTGTTCAACACTTAAGAGCCAAGAGGATATAAAAACAAAAATATTAAAATTCGCTTAATGCAAAAACAGATTTCATATATACTTGAATATAAAAAAAGTTTTTAAAATGCTAACATATATCTAGACCATCCATGTTATGAAAAGTGCAAACCAAATTAACAGGGTTTCACAAAGTCCTTCTCATGACACAGGTAAACTAGCCCATGGGGACAAATTTATTTCATCAGTTAATGAGTCTTTAGTTGTGGCCAGATGTCATCAGGACTTCTGAGAACTCGAAGAAAGCAGTACTGGAGAAGCAGCTCTGTCCAGACTGGGGATTGGCACTGGCATGTGGCCATTGAGCAGTGTTGGGAACTGTAGGGTACAAAAGATTTTTAAAATAATTATTGCAAATAATTGGGAAGAACTTGAATTCTTTACATTCCTAGACAGACCCTAGTGGATCAGTTCTCTTATCGCCACTGTGATACAGGTTAGTTGCAAATTATTTTACAAAATGAGTAATTAATTGAAAGACAACAATGAGGTTAGGATTACATACAGCAAACAGGGTAAGGCTCAGAACACATCTTCATTTATATGCCTAGGCTACTAGAAAAAATATATACTTTATATATTGCTAAAGTATATTCTAACACTTTTTAAAAAAGATTCCATGCTACATAGAGTGTTGATTTTTTTCCAGTATTAAGAAAAAGAAATTAACTGACTCTTGGCATGTAAATCAGTAATTCCAACACTGTATTTTGAAATTGGCCATCAGTTTTCCAGAGTACTACAAAGATGCTTCCCAGTAACTGTTAAAAATAAGGAGTCACCCTGGCTGGTGTGGCTAAGTGGATTGCGTGCTGACCTGCAAGCCAAAGGGTCAATGGTTTGATTCCCAGTCAAGGCACATGCCTGGCTTGCTGGCCAGGTCCCCAGTAGGGGGTGCACGAGAGGCAACCACACACTGATGTTTCTCTTTCCCTCTCCCTCCCTTAACCCTCTCTAAAAATAAATAAAATTTTAAGAAAATGAGTGTTTTTATCATCTTTTTTTAGATTTTATTTATTTTTATTTTTTAGAGAGGGAAGGGGGGGAGAGAAACATCAATGTGCAGTTGCTGGGGATCACGGCCTGCAACCCAAGAATGTACCCTGGCTGGGAATTGAACCTGGGACACTTTGGTTCCCAGCCCGAGCTCAATCCACTGAGCTACACCAGCCTGGGCTTAGGAATGTTTTTATCTTAAAAGATTTAGAAAGCAAGAATATCTTTGAGGCTGAGAAAGTATTCTTTGTAATTAAAATAATAATATGAAAGTTCACCCATTCCAAAATTTAAAGAATAATGTTAATTTCTGTATTGTTGGTAATGAAGATGATAAATAAAGACATATGCTTTGATGGCTTTCAGGTCTAGAAGTACAGCAGCTGTACTCTCAAGTGAACAAGAACAATTAAGGCTTCAACTAGAGTTCCATTGTCTAGGATGGTGTGTGTCAGAGTGATCTGGGCTCTCAATAAGAATTAAATGTTAAACCTCACTTAAACACTAAGTATCAAACTAAAGAGCCTGGTACATGTTAGAAGTACAACAAATATTTGTGGAACAAGTCAATATATTTTTGTAATTCTCAAGCTGTTTCACGTAACTGGTACAGTCTACTGCCTTACAGTTAACCACTGGTGGTCATTTCATTTGATATCTAGAGCCTGTAAGGTAAGTTTGGTTTTCCTCTTTTTATAGGGGAGAAAAGAGTTCACATAAGTTCAGGACTGGGTAAAGGTCACAGCTAATAAGCAGTAAAGCCAAGCTTTAAACTGCACTTTCTGTGCCAAACCGCCCCATTTATTTTTGGCAGGGCTTGGGGAGGGGAGTGCTCTTCAGTTGCCGTTTCAGTTTCATTAATGGTTGTTCGCATATTCTAGGTTTTTGTCTTCTGACGCTTCGGCATTTTAAATTTTTTTTTACAGAATTTTATCCATTTCAACTGGGTTATAAAATCTACTCTCAAGTCTGCTCCTCACCACTAATCCCATTGACTTGGAGCAGTGATTTTCAACTTTCTTTTTTAACTCATGGCACACAAACTAATTACTAAAAGTCTGCAGCACATCAAAAAAAATATATTTCTTACTGCTCTGACAAAAATAGGTACAATTTTGAGTCATTCACACTGGACAGCTACTGTTGTGTTGGCTGTTGTCATCTTTTTATTGACAGTCTAAGGGAAAAGGGTCGGTGCCCCTGACTAAATAGTCAGGCACTGCATGTTTTCAAAATCCTTGCAGCGCACCAGTAAAATCACTGGCTCGGAGTGAACACTGGAAGAAGAACGGGTTTTGACTTTTTTATACTTTCAGTTATTTGCATCTTCTCTCATTTTGGTTTCATCCATTTTGTGTTTTCAAAAACAATCAGCTTTTGGTTTAGTGTCTGTTTTTAAAAATATACTAGTGATTTCTGCCCTTTGTTCCTTGTCTACACTCAATTGTCACCATTTGCCTTGGTTAGCCTGGCTTTTCTGGCATGTTTCATAGTCGGCTTGACTGACTCTAATCCTCCCCCGCCCCGCCCTTATTCCTTGTTCTTGAACTTACAGCATTCCCCAAACTGGTGTCCTCCGCCTGCCTTTTCTCCTATACTGAACTCAATAATCATTCCTTGTTGGTCAGACGCACCTACCAATGCCTCTTCCCCACCAAACTTGCTCTTCTGTCTGTGCCCATTTTTCTCAGTGAGTGGTGCCTGGGGGCAGTACAACCCTGAACTTGAATCAGAGCTCTGCCACTTGTCCACGTGTGATCAGGGTAAACTGAAGCAACGTCTCTTGACCTTGGTTTGTTGATTCAAATAGATGTGTTTTGAGTATTAAATGAGAAACCACAAAAAAGTGCTTTGAACAGTGTCTTACATGCAGTAAATGTTAACTACTGTTACTAACAGCACTTCCAGTCTTTTAATCACAGTGCTCTTTGCCTCTTCTGAATTCACATTACCTACTTTTCACACCCAACCAAAAGTCTTCCTCTCAACTTTACTTCTAGAGTATCTTCTAAATATATTCCTGTTTCCACTGTTGTTATCTAAAAGATTATTCCTCCTTCAGTATTCGGAAGTGTCAATTTCCTCACATCTTCCTGACCCTTACACTTTTTCTCTTCAGTCCTCCTTCCTCCACACTAATGTCAGTGATATCGTTCCGAAATAGAGATCTTGTTGTACTGTCTCCAGCTTTGAAAGCTTCCACAGTTACCACGTGAGAGATTAAGGTGGGAACTCCAGCATACTTACTATTCAAGTCCTACAGTTGCACTTTTCTGATCTGACCTCCCAGGCCCTTCCTAGTCATACTGTGTATGTTTCATGTTCATACCATGCCCCTCTGTTAATCTAGAATGTGCTTCACTGTTTGGTAAAATCCTGTCCCTTCTCAGCTTACCTCAGGTGTCACTTCCTTGGAGCTTTTGTCCAGTTCCCAGATGGAAAGAGCTGCTGTTGTGGGGTTCTTACAGTATTTTGCTTACACATTTACTATTCACATACTGTGTAACCCCTAAGTCTCTGCCTGAGAGCGTTACAAATAATTTGCCGGGTTAGATTTGTTGAATTAAAGATTGCAGAAAATATTCTCAATTGAAAAGTTACTCCGTCTCACCTTGTTTCAAGATGTATCTGTATTTACTAGGCTTATTCCAAATTTGATCAAAATCTGTTTCAAAAATGGAACATATATCCTATAGACAAACTTAAAATGCCAAACTGTCCATTTGAAACGGATCTCACTCTATTTGTAAATCAAGACTGTGTATTTAGATTTAACACAACATGTATTTGTCATCTCTCTAAATCACATCTCGATTACAAAGCATGCCTCTTCCCAGAAAGGGAAATACCTTCTCTCTCCTTCCCTTAAATTCTCCAGTGTCTACTACAACAATTCTGTCGGGACCTTTTGTGCAAAAATTTACCAGCTCCGTCCACGGTTACTCTAAGGATTCTGGTCTACTTTTCTAACCCTCACAACAGGAAGTCTGCCAGCATCAAGGGGCGTCCAACCTTTTGGCGTGTATGGGCCACACATTAAATTCACAAACGCTAACGAAAACTGATGAGCCAAAAAAAGAAAAGGTTTTAACTAAATTTACAATTTTGTGTTGGGCCACATTCATAGCCATCCTGGGCCATGGGCTGGACACCCCTGATTAACATACTGTATATTTTTTTCTTCCTCCAACATATTTACAGCACATGTGAAAAGGGTTTGTTACTTTTAAGGAAAATTATTTGTATTAATTGAGAGGGGGCACTGATACTCATCGAAATTTTGTAAACCCATCATTTGAAATACCTATTTTTAAAATCAAAGTACAGGGAGCATGTGCAATCTTGCTCCCCAGTATATAGGTCATCAGTTCGGCTCAAACTCCTTTAAAAACTCTCCCCCCAAAAAAGTGTTATTCCTCTTACCGTGTTTTGTTATTTGCCATTTTTAAAACTACTAATTTCAACTTTCACCATATTCAACTGCTCTTATTGTAGGAAGAGTAATATTTGTAAAGGTTTTTCCTTAGTCTCCTGGACCCCAATAAAAAAGAGGGTCCAAGGCCCTGTTGGCCATCGAAACACGGCTGTGTTTTTTAGGGTTGTACAGGGGTGGGCAAAAGTAGGTATACAGTTTGTATGGGAAATAATACAATATGTAATAAAGAATAATACAAGAATAAACTCTGCTTCCTGTATTCACACCCGCAAACCTCCTCCTGCCCACCCACCGGTGTATTCTGAATGGCTCAGGAGAGAGGACGGGCCCATCCTGTGAAATTACAGTTCTGAGCAGGCAGCCCTTAAGCACAGCCATGTCTTCCCCAGAGTTCTAAAGGTAAACGGGAATGGCTGGTCTGCAGTGGCTCTCGACATGTGGTTCCCGGAGCGGTGGCATCCCAAGGAACTTAAAGAATGTCTTCTGGGCCATCCCAGGCCTTCTTCTGAATCAGAGACTCTGGGGTGGGGCCCAGCACTGTTCTAACACACCTTCCAGCCACTTCTGTTGCATGCTGACTCGGAGAATCACTCGTTCACACTCGAGACTAAGAGGACATACTCATCTCCCTACCCCCCGAGCTCCAGATAGCGGGATTATGTACAGAGTCACTGCGGACTTGCACCCTTGTTACCAGAGGGATTAACGGGCCAGAAAAGGTTTAGTGTCCAAGGCAAGGTATGCCAAAGAACTCCCAAGTAATAGTTCTCTGTGGCTTCCCTGGGAGGTCACCGAGCCCTGCAGCGATCGGGTGGCAGAATTCCCAGTCAGGAGGGAACGGAACATCCATTCATTATTCACAAGCATCTACTGACCCCCACGTTAGAGTCTCGGTTTACAGCACTGCAGACCCTACTCCATGCAGCGTAATGGACATATGCAGCACGAGACTCTGCTCTACTCAGGAGCTCTGACACCAGAACACTGCTGCTCCAACCTGCAGACTTTCGGGAAATAAGGCCTTTCGGCTCCCCATCAAAAGATTGCAAATCTAAAATTTTACTAAAACCACTTGCTCACTGCTTTTTGCTTGCTTTTTCTAGTTTTTTGCTTCCCTACCTGAGTTACAATGGTTACAAATCAACATGTTGGCTGTGCACAAACAGCTCAGTCTCTTGAGACGGGAAGAAGCGCCAGGGAGAGAAACCTGAATCCCCCAGGAATACAGGGACGTCCGTCATGACACCCTACCTCCACCCTACTAGGAAACCAGAGAAGCAAGATGGCAATCAAAACCTCCTTAGCACCCCCACCCTTCCTCAGGCGAGACCCCAAGTCCCACCATGTACAGCTCCTTGCTCAGTGGAGGCGTAAATGTTAACCCTGACAAGTAAATGACTCAGAAAAGCATGGAGACCTGAACTTTTTAATACTTTCTTAGACATTTCTAGACAAACTCTCATGCATCCATTCAGTCCATCAAAGATAAGTACTAAGCAGCACTGGTGTGCCAAGCAATGTGCGAGACGCCGGTGGCACGCCACCGTGAACAAGCAGCGGTTCTGGCCTCTCGAGGGCCCACAGTCTAGTGGGGGAGATCGCCCGATGGAACAGGCCATCCTAATACAAAGTGTAAGTGCTGGATGCAACAGAGTCAAAAGGACTACAACTCGAGTGGTGTGAGCCACACTGAGGGGCAGGCATGGGATAGAGGACAGGAGACAGATGAGGCTAGAACTAGGTAAAGAGGAGTTGGCACTTGATCCAGCTTTGCTTCAGGCCTGTCCCTAGGTACGATCCTTTCTGCCCTACCCTCATGTATGTCTCGGTCAGTGAATAGCAGTTGAAAAGGAAATCGTGATTTCCACTTGCACGCAAGTGATGCTACCCGCAAGACCCTAGTGTGTGAAGGAATGATGACTGTGCTTACATAACACAGGGAGTTTTGCAAGATAAGCTCCCAAGACTTAGTTTTTAACCAAATGCCCTGGATACTCCTTTTTTGTTATGTAACAAGGTGAACATTATGTATCATACAGATGACTTTTCTATTGTAGTAAAGAAAGATTGTTCATGTCACCATTGACTAATGTTAATATTTTTACAGTCTTACGAGATTTTTATAAGTCTTGCCTTGTCCTTGATAAAGATCCAGTTTTCATCGTCCGTGAAAATTCTGGAACATCTCAAGAAGGAGTTGTTCCACGTGTGGGCACCTGCCAGGAGTACTCTGTTTTCGCCCCATCAAAAAGGCCTGACTTGGAAGGCTGCCTTTTGTGCCCAGCCCCAGTAACATTAATGCAACACCTCCCTTTGGAAACCTGACACCTTAACCAAACATAGGGGGGAGCTCACTGTTACCTGTGCAGGATCCCCTGGGGAACACATCCCTTAGAAAGTTCACTGTTTAGAAGTTCGTTTCCAACGGCTCACCTGGAACAGCGTGTTTGGCCCCTGCAGCCGGGCAGGACTCAGTGGAGCAACTGGACTGAGGCTGCTCCAGAAATGTATGCTGGAGAGCAGCGGGCTCGGGGTCAGGAGCAGTCCGTTGGGTGTCTAGCAAAGAGAGCACACAGACAGTTTTTGATACAGGTTTTATCGCCTGGATGCAGCAACGGTCAGCCGTGTGGCTAGGTGCAGCGCCTGTGAACCCAGAAATGGCCTCACCACCGTCTTAAGAAAATCTGACGACTCTTAATTTCTGCAAGGCTGAGAGCACTGTTTCACTTTAATTTTCTTCAATGCTGATTGAGCAATTTTTAAAAGAAGAGAGGTATAGACAAGTTATCTTCCCGTAAACATTCTAGTGGAAATCTCAAGTTTGTAGCGACTTCTGACCAGATGAGATCTTCAGTGTGCCCCCGCCCCTCCTGGATGAAACAAGATTCAGTGCACCACAAAACAGGGTCCCACTGCAGCGCTTTACTTTCTCCTGCCCGCGTGTTCTCAGTTTTCCACAGTGGACACCCATCACTTGGGTTACAAACACAAGCATGTTTTTAAGAGAGCCTCCCAAGCTTCCTTTTCCCCTTTCAATGGCCCTTTAATGCTCTAGGATTTGCTGCTAAAATACCCTGTAGCAGCTTCTTCAAAAGCTCTGAACTAGGTTTTCCAGATTTCACTCCGGATGTGGGGCTGATGAGAATTCATCTCCCTGGCAATGGTTTGAAGGGGGAAAAACAAATCCTTTCTTGTCAGATTGGGTGTAAAGCCAAAACTCTGGGTTTCCCGGGAGGATGCCAAGGACCGCATTTGCCTGCACACACTCGGCGGGAGTCCTGGCCTGCAAGCCAGCTAGCGGGCGGGAGGAACAGCCCGCCCCCGCTGGCGAGTCTGCACGCCTTTCAGCGAAGGCACACTGCCTTGCCCAGGGTGGTTTTGCCCCTGCGGCGACGAGGAGGAGCTCCTCGGTGGTTTTGTGATGTCAGTAGGTGCGTTGTGTAAGAACCACAGTTCAGATTGCATCATGCTGGGTGCCAACGTGTTACTTCTCCCTGGAATTGACCTAAGCAGCTTTGTTAATCATTTAAGAGCATTTGGCTTAAACAGAAGTTGAAAGTTCTGCTCTGCTCTGCTCAGAGGAATGGAGACAGACATCCAAAGGTTCTCAAACTGTGAAGCTGCCGAAAGGTAAACTAATTTATACCTCATTATTTGAGTGTTGGCTACACAGGATTTTCTACATGCTGAATGACCTATCAGGTTACTAAGATAAATACCCGTTTTGGATAAGCTTCCCAGTTGTTCTAATCCAAGGCAATTTCACAGGTGTGCCCTGGCCTAATGGTTAAGACTTAATGGTTCTGCCCTGACTGGTGTGGCTAGGGCATCGTCCCGCAAAGCAAAAGGTCACTGGTTTGATTCCCGGTCAGGACACATGCCTGGGTCACAGGTTCAGTGCCCGGTTGGGGTGCGTATCGCAATCAATCGATGTTTCTCTCCCTCTTGCTTTCTCCTTCCCTTCCCCCTCTCTAAAAATAAATAATATCTTTCAAAAAAAAAAGGACTTAACGTTCAGCATGGGTTCTGACAGTTTCAGGACCACTACTTCTTAGCTAGGCAACTGCTCTATGCCTCAGTGTCCTACTCTCTACAAGGAGGAGGAAAAATGCCTACGTTAATGGGATTGCTGGGGAGATTAAATAAGATGACCCACGTAAAGCTCTTACTGTGTACCCGGCACAGCAAATGCTCAACAAGTGTTGGAGATGGTTATCCCTAGTAATTCATTAGAAGTCTCCCTGACACACTAAATGCACTCCACCTGTTCATGGGAGACACTCTCAACTGTGCGTAGAAAAGTACTGAATGCCCTGCAACAGACAAACCAGCCTGGTCAGCTGGTACTTGAATGCTCCTCTCAGTCCTGTAAGGCTCAAGTTCACAGGCACAGGTGACCCGAGCACTAACATTTGCACGTTACACGAGTCCAGTCCCACCCACGGCATGCCACATCAACGTCTCATAACCAGTATGCTGAGAGCCTCCTCCTTTACCCACCAGCGGAGATCTCAAAGCTGAAGACACGTGTCTGCTAAACTACAACACCTGGCTGGCTTTCTCTCATCCATGACCATGAATATACACCCATTCTTTTCAGTCCTTTGAGCTATATACAGAGTGTAGCATTTATATTTTCATAGTCTAAAACTTGTACCCATGTCCGGAGTTGAGATGTTAGCACATATGTTTTTCTAAGGGACACAAGATATATTCAGAAGACAGTAGCCCTCTGTTTCTCGTGCTTAATGTTTGAAATGCCTTTCATGATACATGCAAATGAATATCGTGAAGTGACTCCATCCACTCCTCTCCCTCCCATCTTCTGATCTCCCTAAAGGTCCTGTGGCCTTCCAGAAAGAACTGTTGGGTAGGGGAACCGTTTGGTAGGCTCTTTCAAGGGACGTTTTTATAAAGCCTGCCCTGGGTTCCCTCAGCTTCAGTGACAGCTTTCAGGGCATCTCTCCACGGCTCCTGGAATCAGGCGGGGAGGGCTGAGCCTAAGGACCAGAGGCTGATGAAAGAACCAACAGCAAAATGCACTACCTTCCTCTCCCACGTGTCTTTTGAATGACAAGGAGCTCCCGATCCTGTAAACTGCCTGGGCGGGGGGAGATGCCCGAAGGCCCCCGGGCAACCAGCATGCACTTTCCAGGGGACAACCCCCCTCCAGGGCCTCCTTCTCATCCATCCTCCCCGCTTAGCTCTTCCACTTAATAGGGAGTCTCCTAAAAAGCTCACACGTCTGAGCTATACCCTGGTGTGCTGGTGTCCAGCCACTCCACACCCGAGTGCCCCCTGACCTCCTCCTCCCACCCACCCCTGCCTGCCTCCCCCTGCTTGTCAAAGTGCCACCACCTCAAAGGAGACTGGCCTGCTCTCCCTTCAACCAGATGCCGCTTCTCTTTTCTGAGTCCTTACAACACTTTACAACCACCTTTTTGAAGCATGTTCTGCCTCATGGTATGGCAATAATTTGCATATTTTTATTATGCCTCTGTCTGTAACCTTTAAGACACTGCCCGGGCTCACCTTTGTTCCCCCTGTGGCGCACAGCTCCCAACTACTGGATGCGCTGAAACGATCAGTAACTCTTCACTTCTCACCTTGCACCTGGAATGCCCCACATGCTCAGACGTGAATTTACCACCTTCTTTCCAAATCCGGTGTTTGACTATCAAAGTGCCACCGCGTACCCATCCACTCAGGAAATGCTGCACATAGTGTGTGTCACGTGCCACAGACGCCATACAACCCAGCATCCCAGTCCCCAGTGTGCGGAGTGCCTTCCGCTTGCCACAGCCTCTGGGCATGGGCTGCGGACCCTTCCTTGAACTCAGTCCTCTTTATCCCACTGCTGCTGCACAAGCACAGCCTCCTTAGCTACAGTTCTGGGCTCCCCTGTAACCTGCTTGCAGACACTCCCTAATTTCCCTACATGAACCCTCCCACACCGCTCAATACGTCCCAAACTCATCTAACGGACATGGAGACCCACAGAATCTCGGCCAACCAGTTCTTGAGCAGAATTCATTCCAGAACTTCCCTGACCACCCAGCCCACAGCTCCTGGGGCTAGACCCACTCCACAGGTGAACTCATCCGTTTCCATGGTTTTAACCAAGCCGCACCCACTGGTGACTCCCTAACGTTATCTCCAGCCACACGCTCCTGAACTCCAGGTGCAGCTGGATGTTTCCACCTGACTCGACGCGGGCCCAGCTGAACATGTAGCCTTTCCCTTCGAGCTGGTTCTTCTGCCCACGCTCCTCAGACTGCAGTGCAGGGTCTCCCCGGCCGTCTCCACACCCGGGCACCAAGTCCTATGACTGGCATTCCCTCTGCGTCTCTCAGATCTATCACAGCCTTTGATCCTCATCGTCTCTCACCTGGAACATTGTGATGGTATCCCCCAACAGGTCCCAGCCCGTGTCATCACGGTGATTTCTAAAACGCAATCTGGACTATGTCACTCCTGCCCCATCTCCTTAAAATTTCTCTCCCCCTTCCCTCCCTAGGCTACTGTACTAAGCCATTTCACATCGTCATGCCTTGGCTCAAACTCTTCCTCTGCCTACTACAGCCTCTCCCCCCAGTCTCCCAGATAACTTGCTATGACCTCTCAGCACCCTGCCCACGTGTGTCCCCCCTCCACGAAGCTCTCTCAACACCCTCCCCGACCCCAGCACAGTTAACACCTCCCTCCTCAGCATTCCTTTTCCCCTGTGTGTTCCTTCTGCACCGCATCTGGGACGCTGGTTTAACCAACTCCAGGTAAGTCACTGCTGTCAGGGATGATCTAATTCACGGTCGTAACCCCCGCTCTGTGCACAGCAGCGAACACCTAAGTGCTCGACCCATGTTTGCTGGACTGGACTAGAGGAGCTTCCCCCTTCAAGTCCTCAGGTGCTTCTCCTACTGTGTCCTTGGCCCTTACGGGTGCTGTCTGGGCTGTGTGTTTACCTTGTCATGGCGAGGCTCCCACGGTCATAAAAACAGGCGCTTTGACCTCTGGTGTTCTCTCTGTGGCTTCAAATAATGTTCAATACTTATTTGTTGACAGTCTAATAGGAACTTTTGTTTCCTTTGACTTACACCTCCAGCAGCTGTTACTTTCCCATCAGAACCAGACTGAATTCCTCGGGCAGTGGTTGGGGCCTCTGAAACAGCACCCTAACTTACGTGCCGCCCCTTACCCTTCGCCTCCCGGACAGCAGCTGTGCGCCCCCGAGAGTAGCAGCCGTGTCTGTCGTGCTCACCTCTGTACGCCCAGGTGCCTCGCCAACGGGGGTGGGGGGCGGGTAGCGGGCGTTATTCGACAACTATTTCCCCAACGAGTCCACAAACAGTGACCGTGCCCTAGTGGACCGACTCAGGCTAGGACCCGGGAGGGTTTCACATCCTGGCGTCTGCCCTGTCTCAGTTTCCGCGGCCCCTGACATCAGAGACACCACCTTGCTCGTCTAGCAGCGGTCCAACACGACCTTGATAGTCTGGCAGTTGTTACCCTTGGCAGCGAAACAGCTTTATCGCTTGGTACCCAGCTGGCTTTGTAGTCCCACTTTCCAGTTCCTCACGGTCCAGCCCGAGGGGCCTCTGGGTGGTCTGCACGTCTGTCTGCACTAGTAACCGGGTTTCCCCAAAACTCATCAACGAGTGTCACCCAACATGTGTCACACAGGGCCCGGCAGGTGCACCACAAGTAGGTTTGATGGGAGCGGCTGATGATTTTCCTGCACGTCATTTTGCAGATGAAATTTCCAATCTGAATGTGGGCTTATCCGAGGTCTGTGGTTCAGTAAGGTCCCCGGAGGGCATTGCAACCGCAGGACCCTGGTCGTGCCAAGACTCTGCTCCCCCGACCTTCCTCCTCCCATGTTTCTAGCTGGAAAGTGACCGTGAATTATTTTTAGAAGAAATAAGTATAAATAAATAGTTCTTGGAATGAACTAAATTCTTGGGAATTCCATTTTCAGGGTATCACGTTATTCCAGCCCAGCTTCCACCTCTTCTAAGGCCACCTGTTAAGTTTACAGGAGGTTCCCACAGAGTCACGCGGCCCGCTCCGCAGAAGGGAGCTGCGTTTCCGTGACTCGGGCACCAAGCTGGGAGGGGAACCTGAGCCGCGGGAGTTAGCCTCCACTGCTGCCCCTGGGAGAAAAGCTCCAAGCCCCCACAGGCGAGGGGGGGGGGCGCCCAGAGCTGACCTGGGAGCAAAGGGAAGTCTGCTCCGTCCCCTGGGGGGATTTCAGGGACCCCGCCCGCCCGAGGTTTTCAGCAGCGTGGCGGCTCCTCAGAGAGCCCGTGCTGTGTCCACTGGAGGGAGACCCGGAGTGGGTCGGGCTCGGGGGCACATGCAGCTGTTCCTGGGGGATGGAATGTCCGGATCCGAATCCTACGCTGACTCCAGGTCTGCCCTAAACCCTCAGGATAAAACCCCACAAAGTGTGTGACAGATCACATGCCGTGCAGCTGAAACTAATACAAAATAATATTGGATATAAGCTGTTGTTAAATGAAACTGCATAACCATCCTGTCTGACCTCAGGGGACCCCCTGGGTGAACATCCTCAATGCCCGAGTCCTGCCCTTTCTCTGCTCTCTCTGGTTTCTCTCCCACTGCTTCTCTCCCTCCCCGTCAGCCACCCTTGGCCACCCACGCCTGTGCCAGGCGCAGGGCGGACGCTGCTAGAACGTGAGGGCATCTCAAGTCCTGAGAGTGCGCCATCCCCCGAAAGCAGCCCTTGATCCTCTGAGCTTGTTCAGAGCATCGCGTAGTGCGCTTTCTTCTCACCCCACCCCCTTCCAAAGGCCCCCTCTCTCAGCCCAGGCCCCCACCTCCCCTCCCCTGTCCTGGGTCCACACCCTGCCCTTTGCCCCCCTCCTTCGGGAAGCCCCGGTCCCCCTTCTGGGGCTCCCGCCACTAACTAACTCACACTTCACGGCGTGAACCCTCACAGGTTGGCTGAGGACCATTCACTCCCATCTGCTCAAGGCACAGGTCCACCTGGCTTTCCTAGGCTTTTCCCTCCCTGCGTTTAGGCCAGTTCTAGCAGGTTCTGCTTCCCCATCCTGAGATTTGCATCCATTTGCATCCACCCTGTGTCCCCGTCTCACACCAGGGTCCCTCCTCTCCTCATCCCTGCCGTACAGCACCCTTAGTCCCACTGAGCAGAGCCACCCTAAGTTTGCCGTGTCCAGGTCCAAAACCACAGAGCTCGCTGGAGCTGATTCCCCCCTGCACCACTGCAGGGCTGGCACCTGTCCCGGTCGGCTCAGAGACAGCGAAGCAGGCTCTCAGGGAAAGCAGATACTGAAATCAGAGTTGGCTTTGGCTGGCGTGAGACCTCGCTAAACCTTACTCGGCAAACACAAAGCTGGCCAGGGGAGGGGATCTTTAGGCTGTCCACCCCAGCCCCACTTCTCGTGTTACCGTTCCGAGGCATCTACTCAGCAGTCCTTAGTCACCGGACAGCTCGCTCCACTGACACCAAATCCCTGAGCCACCAGCTTGCGGGGAGAGGCCACAGAGAGCAAAACAGCCAAGGGCTGCTTTCAGTTGCTTTGCAGACTTACGATCAAGGACAGCCTGGCCTTTCCCCAGTGAGTATCAATGCTCAGAGCACTCAAGGGCATGGATGCTGGAGCAGAAAGACTGGGTTCAGGTTTGCTTCTACCACCTATTAGCTGGGCGGCCCTGGACCAGTTACTTCAGTACTGTGCCTCATGGACCTCAGCTGGAAAATGGGCCAGTAACAGTATGTACTTCATGGAGGGAGCTGAGACATAACCAAAGGAATGCAGTGTCCAGAATAGTGCTGGCCGTACAGGAAAACCTCAATATAGGCCAATGCTGCTAAGGACAGCAGAGCGGAGACTACAGACACCGCTCCTCCACCCCCAGCACGCCCCCCACCTGGTGCACACAGCTCCCTGACAACAACCCCTGCCAGCTGTAGCTAGCTCTCTCACCACGCCTCTCATCCCGCTGAGTCCTCACAATAATCCATCTCACAGGTGTGGAACAGGCTCAGGGATCAAGTGCCCCGTCGCATTCTACCAAACGGAATAGCCAGGAACCGAATCCAGGTCTGTGACTCCAAAGCCAATGAGCTTAACGCTGCCACCAAAACACATCCAGTTTTCCAGAGGAAACAGAACAGGGTTTCCCAAACACGTGCTTGCCTTTTTGCCCTGTCATTGCCGGCTGGACAAGAAAGAGCATCTGAATATAACATTTAAAGAAAAAGGCTGCCGCCCTGGCTGACGTGGCTCAGTTGGTTGGAGCGTTGTCCTGTGAAACCGCAAGATTGCAGGTTCGATTCCCAGTCAGGGCACATACCCAAGTCTTAGGTTCAGTTCCTGGTCAGGTCAGGGCACATGCCTGGGTGGCAGGTTCGGTCCCCGGTTGGGTGTATCCAAGGGGCAATCAATTGATGTTTCTCTCTCACATCAATGTTTCTCTCCCTCTCTCTCCCCCCTTCCTCTCTCCCTAAAAAAGCAATGAAAAAATGTCCTCAGGTGAGGATAAGAGAAAGAAAGAAAGAAAAGGCTACCTTCTAGTTGGATTTAATAGCACTGAAGACTCCCGTGCTATTTCCCTAAGTTTGCTTTCCTCTCCTGGGCTGACGTGGACCTGGGCGTCCTCACAGGAGTGCTGTTTGACTGAGCCATCTCTTCCTCATGTTCAGTGAGGCCACTATAGTCCTTAGAGCTATTTCTTACTAGGAACGACATGGCAACACAGCCCACACTGCCAATTGCAAGGCCTGCATCACCTGACACCTATTTTCTTATTAACGGAAAACAAATGGCTACTTATCAAGCTCCCTACCAGAGAGGACTGGAAAGTTCCAGAAAACCCAAATGCTTTCTGAAACGCCACCAGGCCCCCACAGCCTTCCCAGGAAGTCACTGGGTCTGCTCTGATGCTCAGCGTGCACCTTCCACCCTTGCATCGCCTCAGGCCACTGAAAGCCAGAAACTAACCAAGCGTCCTACTGCAGCCAATACCCGGCCTTTCCCCTTGTGGACACCTGGGTCTGGGGGCGGGAAAGTAACTTCCCTTCACGTTCACACAGAGACTTTGCTGCACCGGCCCTGGTGAACAGGGAAGGAAGGTGTTCTGGCAGCAATCCCTTCCTCTCTGAGTAAGGACAGGGCTCTTACCTGTGCAGTGAAGAAGGCGGGGGTGAGGGAGCCCGAGGGCAGGGCGGGGCTGTTGAGGGCGATGGAGCCGAGGTCGGTGCCGGAGAGCACCAGCGGAGGCGCAGAGATTTCCAAGCCTTTGGGCTTTTTGGCCTTTGGGGGAAGAGATGGAGACCTGGTCTTGGAGCCCGATGACAGGTTCAAGGGCTCTAGGGAATCCGAGTCATGGCAGGCAGCCTCCAGGAAGAGGCTTCTGTGTTCAGAAGGGAGGGGCGAGTTGGGGGACAGGGACGGGGACCGGGAGGAGGAAGGCGAGGCCGACGAGACGCTGGCGGCGTTCGGCAACATTAAAGAGGAGATCTTGGCGGAGACGGAGGAGGCCAGGAAGGCCTCGGAGGTGGAGGGCAGGGACACCACGGGCCTGCTGACGTGCTTGTCGGTCTTATTGGTCACAAACCTGATGACAGTCCTGACTTCCTCCACAGGGGGGCTGTCTTCCGGTGGCTCCTCCAGCTTCTCTGTCTTGATGGCCTTGAAGGCTTCTGGCGGGTTCTGCAGGGAGTTAATGGTGAAGGACGAGTACAGGCCTGAGTGGATGTATTCGTTGCGGCTCGTGCCTTTGAGGGCCGACAAGCTGTGTCTGTGCGCCTCACGGCCCTCGGTGGGAGCCTTGCAGTCCCGGTCCTGCAGCAGAAGGCTCTCCCGGCTGATCTCCACGGCGTGAGGGTCCATTTTCAGTATCTCCGGGAAAGAGACAAACTTGTACACAAACTTCTGCCCGATCACCTTCTTGATGATGTTCTGTGGATGATACAAAAGGAGACATGGGAAAAATCAGTGCACCGGAGAAACGGAGGCGGAGCTGCATTGGAAGGGGAACTTTGCTGGCGGAGGCACCAGAACATTCCTGAGTCACACGGCGTGGCTGCATGTCACGGTGCAGCGGAAAGGGGACGAAAGGTGGAGGCAGAATTAAGCCTGGCATTCTGGTGCTGCCGATCACCAAGGCTGTGATCTTCAGCAAACTGTCGTTTCCAGTTCCCTCACCTGCCAAATGAGCACTATTGCACCTAATAATGTAATAGCTGCTATTTATTAAGCACTTCCTGTACAGCGGCGTTCGTGCACACATTATCTCATACAATCTGTACAACAATCCTAAGAGGGAGGTATTATTAAACTCCCATTTTAAAACTCAGGATAGTAAGCTTAGGAGCTCTTAAATAACGCACACGGCCACGTGGTAGGTGAGTGGCAGAGACAGCATTTCCTTAACCATAATACAGTATTGTCTTACCTACCTCTGGGACTTGTGAGAATTCAATGAAAGAATAATGGGAAAGCGTTCTGCAAGCTGGAGGGCATTACAGACACGTAAGTTATTATCACCAAACCCCACAATGTTTTCTTAAATCCTGCAGCCATTTTTTCCTGTTTTAATTCCCTGCCAAGAAAGCCACTGGAGGAAAGCAAACCGTCTGCGCTGGCATTTACAGCACCCCTCCAACAGTCTAAGTTGCTAGCATCCACCTCTGGCTCTTCGGTACACGGCTCCAGTCCTCAAACCGGAGGAGGTACATGAGAACCAATAATCACTGCAAAAATGTCCACACCCCTCTGGGAGAACGGGCTTCACACTAAAGGCTGTGTGCGGTGCTTGAGGTCTACTGCATCAGAAGGTTAGCGAGTGGCTCTCAAAGACTCAGGGGGTTCCCAGGTGCTCCGGGAGACAAAGAGGGTCTCCCTGCACCACAGCGAGCTAGCTGGCAGCGCCATCCTGTGGGAAAGGCCTCCTTACAAAGTGTCTCTCCTAAACCTCGGGTGTGAATGAAGATTTTTAAAAATCATTTGCAGGGAGAAAAGGGCTTTAGAAGGTGCTCCCATTGAGTGGCTACTCCGTCCTGGGCGCAGTGCACAAGCTCTCGTCTGCTCTCACGCTAACCCTCTTGGAGGTTCCGTCCTCCTCACGGTGTAAGCTGAGGGGTGGGGAGTGCTCTGCCCAAGAACCACTGACTGAGCTCTACTCATTGGAAAGCCCAAGGTTTTTCACATCTGCACACAAATTTGGGCGGGGGGGGAGAATCAAAGAACCCTGTAGTAGAGATGAGTTTTTTAACTGAGCTATAATTGACATGTAACGTGATATTAGTTGCAAGAGCACAACATAATGATTTCATATCTACATATATTGCAAAACGATCACCACAGTTAAGTCTAGTTAACATCCTTCACCCCAGAGTTCTGAAGTTTTTCACCCTTGCGTTGAGAACTTCTAAGATCTACTTTCTTAGTAACATTCAAAGACGAAAGTCAATTACATTTTGACGTTCCCTTTATGAACAAAGTGTGGTGTATGATTATGTTTTTGCCTTCTCTCGTGCTACATTACAGCATGCTAACTTGCCTTCCTCCTTAACTGGATCTGGCGTCCCAGAAGAGAATTTAGCTAGCAGTCAGGAGGGAAGGGCCTATTTACCAAGCCTCTGAGGTTTTCGAGAAGCAATTCCTCAGGGCAGCCACCAAACGCAGTGACCACAAGGCCCCCATTCAGCACCGGAAGCCCCACTAAGACGAACCCAAGCAACGCCACTCGGCACTGCACACAGGAAGCTCACCCACTAGCACGTCAGACTCAACCTGGACAATCCATCCCAGCACCACCCTGGCACCTGGGGCTGCCACTGAACCCGCCGAATCATGTTTATGTTCTGTCTGACCTCATTCTACACCCAACAGTAGAGAAACTGAAAGACACTTACAAGCCTTCAGAGAAATTTGGGAAACATAAAAGACCCACCTGGGTCTAACTGGCAGCATCTCTGTGGGCGACGCACCAGGCCTGGGTAGACCATACGCCCGGGGAAGGGGGTGGGGACTCAGTTCCCAGCAGGAAAGGGTTAAATGAGGGTGTCATTCGGTGCCACCTGATCCAGAGTCAGTTCCTGGTAAAAAGGAAGCGTCCTTGCCTGCTGTGTACCTCTGCTAAAATTAAGTACCAACCTTCAATTTTATTATGGTATTCAGAACATAATGTCTTGAGCAGACAATCACATTCATATGCAAACCAAGAAGTAATTTGGGGCTGATAAAAAAAATGATAAAAACGTCTCTCCTCATCTAAAAAATAACTGGGAATGCAAAGGCAATCTCAGGCGGAGCGCTGGGGCTCGAGGCAGCAAGAAGAACGTAAAGAACAAGCCCGTGACGGTCAGCTGACGAGCGGATAAACAGAACGTGGACTATTCACAGAACTGAACATCACCAGCCGTCAAGAGGGAGGAGGTCCTGACTCTGCTCAACACGGGTGCACCTGAATGCCACATGCCAAGTACAAGAAAGAAGCCAGACCCAAAAGGCCACATGTATGATTGACACTATTTCTATAAAATATCCAGAAGAGACAAATCTATGGACAGGAAGTAGATTAGTCCTTTCCTAGGTTTTGGGAGTGGGATCAGGGAATTGGGGGGTGCCACCTAAAAGGGGAGCAGTGAAAACGCTCTCACGTTGCACTGACAGAGGCACCACTCTATAAATACACTCAAAGCTACTGCACTGCACGCCTTAGATGGGTGAACTGGATGACATTTGAATTCCACTTCAAAAAATCTATTTTTAAAAAAGAACACGAGGAATCTGTTTTCCCAAGTTCATTGCAGTATCACGGACCTGGAGCACTCTGTAAGTTGAAGCTGTACAATGCAATGACCTGATGCACTTATACATTGCAAATGATGACCGCAGTTGGGTTAGTTAACACCTCCATCACCTCACATAATTACCATTTCCTTCCTGGGGGGAGAACATGTGAGACCTACGTCTTCTCTTAGCGACTTTCAAGCGTATCACACAGTACAGTTAACTAGAGCACCTCGCTGCACATTAGGTGCCCAGGATGTGCTCATTTTATCACTGAAATGTTACCCTGTGACCAACATCTCTGCATGTCTCCCTGGCCCCGGACCCCATCCCAGCCCTTGGAAACCATCAATCTACTCTGTTTCTACAAGCTTGTTTTTTTGTTGTTGTTGTTGTTTATAGATTCTGCATGTAAGTGAGATCACATAGTATTTGTCTTTCTCTGAAGACTTAGTTCACTTAGCACAGTGCCCTCCAGGTCCATCCAAAACATGAAGAATATTGAGAATTTTACAAGTTCAAATGGAAGATGGAAGGGCCCTTCTATGGATGCACCACAACTGGCACAACACGCTAAACCCTCCTCTGAATATAAAAAAGGGAGCCGCCTCAAAGGGCACTGAACTCGGCCACAGCAAGAAGGGCCTGTCGGTAGCTGCTGCCTTCACCAAGTCACACAGTGACAGGGTTGGGGATAGTGTGTGTACAGAGCTGACCAAAAGGAGGAAGAAACAGCCTTTGGAAAGATCCAGGATGGGTCCTGAAAGAGAGAAGGAGCAACACGGCCCAGCTCTGCACCCAGGGTCTCTGGTGACAGGGGGGCAGCAGGGGAGGAGAGCACCCCCACCCCCACCAGGACGCCCACAGCGGGAGGCCCGTGTAGATGAGTGGCTCAGAGGAGGTGAGCGCCAGGTGCCTGAACTGGCAGCCCCTTTGCTACTTCGCTTCCAGGGCAGACTCCGGACAGCAAGCATGTGTGTATTTCTCTGCGGTCTCTGAAGGCAGGTGTCAGGAGTTTGCCCCACGAGGGGTTAGCTGGGAAACTCTCCGTCTAGGGAATATTATGACAGGCAGTGTTCGCTGAGCACATACGTGTGTCAGGCTGTGTACTAAGAACCTGACCACCTTTGACTTGTTCAGTCCTCTGAGAGACTGGAACTGTGACTGTCCCCATTTTCTAGACAGGCAAACTGAGGCTCAGAGGGCATAAATTACCAGTGGTCACATGCTAGTCCTTGGGCGGCCTGGCCCCAGAGTGCTTGGCCACGGTGGAAAGTGGTACAAGACTCCGGCTGTCTGCGACGGCCCAGGACATGACAGCACATGGCGACAGGCTCTTATTATGGAAAGGGATGAGGATATTTAGGAAAAGTCTGATTTGTTCCCCCCTTCCTCCCAGACTCACAAGTATTTGTTGCTTATAGTTGCCTGGTAACCTGACACATGCTGTCTGTGTCTGGCTGAGCTAAGTGACTCCGGTGTGGTTTTAAAGGGACAGATGCACGCGTCCACTTCCTGTCCCACACACAGGACCAGCCTCTCGTTCATAATTTTCCATTACGTGCATCTTCACCACCAGCGTGGACTCCTGACCCAACGTTCCGTGTTGAGGTCACAGGCAGCGCGGCCAGGCCACTCTCAGCGAGGGGGGGCGGCAACAGCCACCTACACACCCTCAAGTGGCAGGCCCATGTGAAAGTGAAGGCGCAGGTCCAGAAACTGCCCCTGCCACCCCCACATCCCAGTTGGTGCTTTGAGAAAGCAGGAGCCTGGGCAGGGAGTAGTCCACTCATAGGTCCACTTGGGCAGGATGACGGCCGACTCTCGCCAAGGAATCCGTCCTGACTCACCAGCTCTCTCTGGCAATGGGAGCGTCTCCTAGGCTGCCTCACCCCAGTGGGACGGAGAACAGTGAGAGCACACAGGTCACATGTGCACTGTAATCAGCGCTGTCTGCCGCCCTGCCAGGTCACGGGCTCACTGATAAAAACAGGTGTGTGGGGGGGGGCGTTTAAATCCGTGTACACACCCTGAACTTTGCCTCCCGCCACTGAAGAGGAAGCCTGTTCAGTAATCCCGTGTGGTAGATAAATCAGAAGTGCCTACTTCTGATGGACTGTGATTTTAAAAAAAAAGTACACACAGTGCTAGGTAATGAAAAG